ATGTTAAATCAACTGGATTCGTGTCTGCATAGTTTTAATGAGTGGCGCGGTGTAATTATTTTTGTTATGTGCTCTCATGTTTATTTTGATTCGCTCGTTTTGTGGAATGTTTGTTGTGAGGATTATACGCTGTGTTTATCGAGTGCAGTCAGATTGACGAAATATTTTGTACGTTCATATCAACCTATTTTGTAGTATGTGTTGATTGATATGATAAATATCGGTGGCGGCTACGTGAGATTATAAATTATAATATACATAAACATAAACATAACATCACGCCTTTTATCCCCAAAGGGGTAGGCAGAGGTGCACATTATGCCACTGTACAATGTAACACCCACTTTTCACTATTTATGTTATGAGTCCCATGTAATAGGTGGTTAGCCTATTGCCATATACCGGGCACAATTCTAGACTCCGTACTACCACTGAGAATTTTTTAAAAACCCAGTAATACTTTGCCTGACCCGGGAATCGAACCCGAGACCCCTTTCCGGGCAGTCGCACTTGCAACCAGTCGGCCAACGAGGTAGTCGTAACTATAATATAAGCTATAATTACACATCCCATAGTTTATAAACAATTTCTATTGTACGATTTCAATTCCCATAGAAAATGTGTTAGCTAATAAGTAAACAGTTCAAACATCTAATAATAAAACATTTCTCATTGGAAAGTTCTCATGGACTGGTATTCAAATAGCACCCCATAGAAACAGTGCGAAATGTTACAGATTCTAGTTCGATACAATGCAATAAAACCGGTGGCAACTAGCCCTTGAAGTATGGCGTCTATGGGACGAGAACAGGTGGACGCGCAGTGCGCGGGACCGTATTCGCAAATCCCCTACCATGAGATGTCGTGGGGTGTCTCGATCTCATTTGCATACGAAATTGTTTTGGTATAGTTTTGTTTATTAGCCATTAAATCTGTTCAAAATATTTGGAAACTTGGTTCACATTTTTTTTTGTATCTATATATATAAAATTCAAAGGTGATTGACTGACTGACTGACTGACATAGTGATCTATCAACGTACAGCCCAAACCGCTGGACAGATTGGGCTATAATTTGGCATACAGATAGATGTTATGACGTAAGCATTCGCTAAGAAAGGATTTTGATAATTTCCACCCCCAAGGGGGTAAAAAAGGGGATGAAAGTTTGTATGAAACTTTGTCAGTTTTTAACTGATCGGGTTGAAATTTGGCATGCAGATAGATGTTATGACATAAGCATCCGCTGTGAAAGGATTTTGATAATTTCCACCCCCAAGGGGGTAAAAAAGGGGATGAAATTTTGTATGAGACTTTGTCAGTTTTAAACCGATCGGGTTGTAATTTGGCATGCAGATAGATGTTATGACGTAAACATTCGATGTGAAAGGATTTTGATAATTTCCACCCCCAATGGGGGTAAAATAGGGGATGAAAGTTTGTATGAGACTTTGTCAGTTTTAAACCGATCGGGTTGTAATTTGGCATGCAGATAGATGTTATGACGTAAGCATCCGATGTGAAAGGATTTTGATAATTTCCACCCCCAATGGGGGTAAAATAGGGGATGAAAGTTTGTATGAGACTTTGTCAGTTTTAAACCGATCGGGTTGAAATTTGGCATGCAGATAGATGTTATAACGTAAGCATCCACTTTGAAAGGATTTTGATAATTTCCACCCCCAAGGGGGTAAAATAGGGGATGAAAGTTTGTATGAGACATTGTCAGTTTTAAATCGATCGGGTTGAAATTTGGCATGCAGATAGATGTTATGACGTAGACATCCGCTGTGAAAGGATTTTGATAATTTCCACCCCCAAGTGGGTAAAATAGGGGATGAAAGTTTGTATGAGACATTGTCAGTTTTAAATCGATCGGGTTGAAATTTGGCATGCAGATAGATGTTTATGACGTAGGTATCTGCTGTGAAAGGATTTTGATAATTTCCACCCCCAAGTGGGTAAAATAGGGGATGAAAGTTTATATGAGCCTTTGTCAGTTTTAAACCGATCAGGTTGAAATTTGGCATGCAGATAGATGTTATGACGTAAGCATCCGCTTTGAAAGGATTTTGATAATTTCCACCCCCAAGGGAGTAAAATAGGGGATGAAAGTTTGTATGGGACTTTGTCAGTTTTAAATCGATCGGATTGAAATTTGACATGCAGGAAGACGTTATGACGTAGGCATCCCCAAGTAAGGATTTATGATCATTTCCACCTCCAATGTGGTAATGTAGGGGATGAACGTTTGTATGAAGCTTTGTCAGTTTTACACCGATCGGGTTGAAATTCGGCGTGCAGATGGATATTATGACGTAAACGTCCCTTTAGAAAGGTTTTTGAACATACTCACCCCAAGGTGGGTAAAATAGGGGGTGAAAGTTTGTATGATACTTTGCCAGTTTTAAACCGATTGGGCTAAGACTTTGCATGCATAAAGTTACTATGACATAGGTATCTACTTAGGATATATCTAAAGGATATGATAAATTCCACCCCTAAAGGCCTAAAGGGATAAAATAGGGAATTAGAGTTTGTATAAATCTTCTTAGCCATTGAATGTAGAATCATTGAATCTTTTAGAATTACATTCGGTAAAACGATGATTTGGGACCTGGGTAACGTTTGATAGTATTTATCACAGATGTCCCACGGGAACGGGAACTATGCGTCAATGCCCCAGGGCTCTCTAACTCTTAACCACTGAACTTATTTTAGAGAGATTCGGTACAACAATAGTCGATAGAATAGTTTTTATTACCCAAACCTTACGTGATTGGGCACTGTACTGGTAAGATCCCTGCGGGATTATTTATTTATTGAAACTACGATAAATCATTTCAAAATAGGTAAATCTTACTCGAGCACTGAATTGATTCTGATGAATTCTGTCAGAAGTCATTAATCTACGCGGACGAAGTCGCGGGCAACAGCTAGTTTTATTTAATAAAAGTAATTTAATTAAATTGCCTTCAGCAGCTACAGATTAATATGTTCTATTGTAAAAAGTTACCTAACTATTGACGTACCTAAAAGACAAAAAACTGACAAAGCATGCAGTATTTAAACACAACAAATTAAAGGACGTGATATTAGAATTTACGAGTAACTCTAAGTATAAATCTTAACAGTATATCGAATTAAAGACGCCTTTAAATCATGGTAGGGGTGCGGCCGCGAGTCCGCGACCACATCTGAATTATTAAATCCTTACAAAGGCTGATGAATGGCCGATTTAATTCACTGGCGATTCGCACTCCGATCCGCGATGTATCGCCATTTACATAAGAATCCGTACAACCCTAATTCCCACGGTCTACTTACTTTGTTTTCGTACTAGAATTACTCACTAGGATTAATAATTCAACTTGGATTGCATAATAATATTCGCGTCTAGTTGTTGCTCTCAACTTTAACGGTTAATTACCGTAACACCACAACTCTATATAGATACTACGGTGAACGAGTTTCAATAATATTGGCTGTTATTTTCCTCTGTTGTAACAGGGAAAATGTTCTGATGAGCGGTTTGTTGAATAAAATATCTCGTAATTTGTTCCACGTAAGTACTAGGGGTTTTGATGCTGTCGAGTGGCTCTCAAAACATTTTAAGTAAAAAGTAAATAAGCACTGATGTTGTTTATTATTTTTGTTTCTTTTTTGTCTACAGAGCGCCAGAATTAGATGTTGAATGTAATTTGTTTGGAAAATTCTTTAATCTCGTTATAAGAATAACGATCTAATAGGATTCCAATAAGTTAAACATGAATGTTAACGTTAGAGAACTAAGCTCTGTACAGCAAAACAATGCAATGCCTTGGACCAAGTTATAAATGGTTTACTCAAGACTTATAAGTGAACATACACAGTACAGCATATAGTGTGTGTGTTTAGATAAAGTGTGCGGTAGTTACTTAACGATACACAATCTACAACGTGGGCAGAATTGTTGTACAAGTCCTACATAGGATTTACTGCTGCGTCGGCTACGAAACTCTGTAGAAGTTTGCGGTCGGCTACGTAGCGTAGCCAGTATTGTTACTCGCTACGCCGTAGCGTGTTTTGTTTTCGTCCAGATGTGTTATTGTTCGGCACGCCGTTACTTACGACCGATGTTGGATGAAAATTATTTGAGTTAAGGTCCTTAGCATCATTCTTCGGGAATTCCTGTTTTTGTTCTAACGTTGTTGTACTAAATTGCTCCGGCTTGTTCAGCCAAATTAAAGGCAAGGAATCTCTTTAAGCAGATGTTACTATCCAACTATATATTTTCTTTGCAACAAAATAAGAGGGAGATTTAAATAAAATGCTAATGAGCCACGAGTTGGTAATGAGAAAAAATTAACGCTTGAGATGTTTTGACGATGACGACGGCACTTAAAGAAACAAATTACAATCCTACTAATTAACAAAGAGAGTTCTTTAGTGTTGTTTAAGCTTCGTATTTTTCTCCTTTCTTCGACATAAATAGGTAAAAAAAAGTTTGTTATCGTAAAGAACAAGTCTTGGGCTTGGTACTGCTCGCTTTGCCAGTCTTTGCAGTATTTTTCTTGTAGTTCTTCCTTATCGCAAATAAAGAATGCTTCAGGGTATTAATGTGATAAAGTAACGATTTTAATACTCCACTCAATTTACTATAGAAGACAACCAATCTTTCCTTTGATACAGCGTGCTTTGCTTTATAAATGAAATGCGAAAAAGGATACGGCTATTCCCATTACAAGCAATAATGGAAATGCGACTTCGGTCCTCCAATAAAAGTGACATATTTACTATGAATTTGATTATTGTAGACGTCACCCATTTACTAAGATTTATATTCGAATTCGTACAAAATACCTAGCTTTTTTTTTGTTTAGTTTCTTTAATAAATTCCAAGAAAAGTGTAAAATTAAAACTTAAGTTAGAAAATAAAGTACCTCATTATCACTGAATGTACTTAAAATTGATACATTGTCTAATACATACTCCAAATGCAAAAAAACTTTGGTATCTTACCGTACAAGACTTGGACTTGCTCTTGGATTTGGCCTTCGCAGGGGGAGTAGGGGGTGCGGGCGGGGTACAAGGTGGACTTGTGTCACTGCTCGTGCTGTGGGGGGTGGTCGACTTCTCTGATCCATTGCTTGACTGGAAAATTATTGGTAGATTAGTATGTAATCATAAACTGTTGAGATATAAACTGAGAAGTGGATTAATGTATATTTACTTTGATTTTATAATAAAACACGAAAAATTATTGGAAGTCTTGATGGTCAAATAAAAGTAGTAGTAATGTTTATCCTCCACGTGATTAAAACATTTCAAATACTTAATGTTTTTTTGTAGTACCTTATAGTAAGTAACTTGAACACATGGATAATTCTAATATATGTAGTTTTAAATTAAAATTACTCTAATCCTTTACTTTTTATAAACTTTAAATATGTGTGCACTGTAGTGTTTATACATTCTCCTTAAAATAGTATCGAAAGTTAGTCGAATGCAATCCAAGCGATTTATTGCATTGGACAAGTTTCACTGTTGCAGGCCCGACTCAACGTAGTACTGTTGTTGTTCTGAATACAATTGTTTTGTAGTACTTGAATTATTGTTGAATGAGATACAAACGAAATTGGGTATTTTTTTAGTCAATAACAAATTATTTTGACTTTTTAATACAGTTTTTGTCATTTCAATAACAGCATTGAATTTGATTAGTTGCGAACAGTCGTATTTCTAGATCCTTATACAAAAATTTATGTAGCTAACATTACACAAAGCCAAAACTCTTGTCTATTTTTACATCTTTCCCCAAAAGGTCTAGCACAAAAAGTCCCCTAGAGTCAACATATAATCAACATTAACAAACAGAATGATCGCATTGAACCCTTACATTTCCACATGATTTCTCCGAACACGAGTATAGATAAACACCCGCCATATTGGCGGACATTTTTTGTCGAAACCTTTAATGGTGGGAAATTAAAAGAGCACACACAACGCGGATTTCGGGCTAATTGCTTAATTAATAAGGGCGGTGGTTGAGTTTTACACGGATGGCCAGTTGGAAACCCGCCAGACATGCCTAAGTATAAAAAGCTAGATTAATGAGGGACTAAAAGTAGCGTATGAACTAACTGATGGGAAAATTTGTGGGTTCAAGTTCGGTGGGTTTTTGCGGCGTGTTAAATTCTAGTAATTAGTGCTTATTAATTTGTGAATTATTGCCGGTTTAGCTCTAAGTTTGAAAGAGATGATTTGTTGGAACGCTTGAAACTTTGTTCTTAAGTTGCAACCGCGCAGACTAACTGCTCTTAAGTTGAGTTATGGTTGTTAATACAAGTCAATAGTTTGATAGTATCTAGACTATTTGCTTCAGGACCTTCTTTGGTAGAAAGCAGTGAAATATTTACTATCCTATAATACGGTTTATTGCGGAATAAAAATAGAAAATACAACACTAAATTCAAGTTTAAATCAAAAGAGGTTTTTATTACATTTTACAAGTGTACAGGTGATATTAATGTTGCCATTCTCGAGAGCATTCTCCTTCAATTTACTATGTTATTGTTATTACATGTATACGCTATAAAAGTGGGTCTCCCCCAAAATATATTATAGAAAATATTAAATCTATCATGTTATAGCTATTGTCGATTGAAGGGTGTGAGTTTCATATGTAGAGGGGAGTTCCCTATCGTCAGTGTTGTGTAGTCTTGCAAGTCACTTTTTATGATATTCAATAGATGAGTTTTCTTTACAAAAAAAAAATAACTATGTTATTACCTACAATATATTCGATAGTCGACCAGAGGATTGATATATAGAAATGATACAAAATCAGCAAAATTAAACGCAAAATAATGAAATAATGACAATATGTGTACTAGTAGGTGAAGATTATGGCCGATGTTATACTATAGACTATAGTCTAATTATAGAGGTATACAGTAGAATATAATATTAGACTAATTATAGTTACATTATAGTTTCTGGAACAATAATATAAGTCTAATTATAGTTTCTGGAACCATTATACACTACATCCACTTTATTGACTAATTCTATATCAGAAATTAATCAAGGAGATAGCAAAACTAAACTCATATTTCAATACTAATAATTGTCTTATCGTTGTATACTTACATCTGAATGCGGAGGCTGTATACGCGGCGGTGAGATGGGGGATGTGACGCGCTGTGTGTTGACAGTTGCGACTGTGGTTGTAGTCGCAGCCGCGGACACAGGCACATTCCCTTCACGATCCACTGTTGTTATTACACTCGATGTTGTTGTGGATACTATATCTGTAGGAAAAGTAGAATAAAAACCTTATCTATACATATAATAAAATCGTAGGAAAGATGTACATCGATTTTTTTTTAAAGAATGCTTTGGGCATATCTACAGTCGATACCGAAACCAAAAATATTTGTCTGTTTGTCTGTATGTTTGTCCGGGATAAACTCAAAAGGTGCTGTATAGAATTACTACAAAATTTGTATGAATATTACTAACAGGTTGTGGCAACATATGGGCTACATATTGTATGAATCACTGTTCCACGCGGACGAAGTCGCGGGCTCAGCTAGTGTACTTATGTTTTTGGTGTATGTACGTTTAGTTGACTCTAGGATTTTTATCTTGCTTCATGCAATGGCCGACAATTCTATCTTAATGTTTTAGGAAATTATTTTTTCGTATAGTGAGTACATTTACATTAAATTTCACATCATACCCTGGTCAGAAAAAACACTAGGTACTTTCTATTAAGTTGTATTGTGAAAACAAACGTTTCCTATAGACATAGAACACGGATTTTCTCTAACCTACACTTAAGTAAAGAAACTTTATAGAATCTTCTGTTAATTTAAAAAAAATAATCTTTTAACAACAAAACTATCTTATTTTAAAGGTAACTAAATTACATTTTATACGACATACGATACCAATTAATAAAAGACTTGCATCAAAAATGTTTATCAACAAATTAAAGTGGCTCGTTTTCTTCGCTTCTAAGTGTAGATATTTTTGACTGACATAGAAAAATCATAATTCATAAGCATAGTGGCCTGAGTTGCTCTATGTTCATAAGGCATTGCAAATGTAAAGTATGAACCCACATACTCTAATTTTTATCGAGACATTTTTATTCAGTCCAAATAATTCCTTAATTGATAAACTAACAATAGTACGTATTTAATTTCGCACAGAAGAATACAAAAGCTTTATATAAGACTTACAACAATTAATTACAAGTTTCGCTTCCCAAACAAAGAAAGGAGACGAGCGCTAGGGCTTACAGAGGTATTGAGTCGGTTTCAATTCGCCACAGAACCCATTTATATTCGGCTCGGGTTTTGAACTAGTTACCCGGACAGACATGCGTACATACTGATTGTGGCTATATGTATTTACTGATATGCTGCCACGGAATATTAGATATTTGTATATGTTCATCTGTTCGTGTATTAAAATCAAGGGCTGTTTTTTGTTACAAAATATATGACGATGGAATAGTGTAAACTGGCTTTCAATAAACCGTTTGGATTAAATCGATTCCTACATTCCTACATTCGTACATTTTTTTAAATTTTCTTAAACAAATCAAAGGCATATATTGAAATATCATGTAATCAAGATTAAGTAAATAAAAAAGATATTACTACAGATTCACTTCTATATAAAAATAGTAAAGTGATGTTGAACTAATTCTACAGTCTACACACTGTGCCTACAATTTACTCAATGAATCATCCGACGAAATCCCTATTTGGAAACTAATCAGCAATTCAAGGAGAGGGATTAAACAAATTGAAGACCCTTCAGAGTAGCGATCGATTAAAAATTGGTACTCATCGAGATTACGAACGACCCTTCCAGATTTACGAGAAGCCTTATGGAGAAAGTAGCAGATAAATTTTATTAATTTATAATTTTATTATTTTTGGATTTTTTATGAATTTTCTTTTAAGAATATATATTTATACTAGCGGACCCGACAGACGTTGTCCTGTATATCCACTTGAATGTATAAACAAAAATTAATGCAAATTAGTTCAGCCGTTTAGGATAATAAACCCAGACTGCAGCGCCATCTACCGGGCTGATTTGTGATTCTAAACCATCCAGGGCGCCACTCAAACGCATACAGAAAAATTTATTTAAACCGGTCTAGCCGTTTAGGAGAGTTCAATGACATACACACGTACAGCAGAATTATATTATATAAAGAAGACGATGAGAAAAAGTATCCATTTTTACGACTTTAAAAAATTAGGAAATTGCTTCCATGAATTGAGAAAAAGTGTCTAAGTCTCTTTTCTATACTTTCTTGTTGGTGATATTGTATGTGCAACGGTTTCTGTAACAATACTCACTTGTTTCTGTTGCTGGAGGCTGATGGTGGTTCTCAGTGTGCCGTCGCAGCGATCTGGCATCGCAGTATGACTTGCCACATCCATCTGCTTTGCATTCGTAAGGCTTCTTGTTGCGGTGAGTTAGCATGTGTCCGTTGCTGTAACATACATACGAACATCATTTAGAGGAACATAGAAATCTCAAGTAATCTCAAAAAAGAACGCTCCTGAAAAACGCTGACAAAAATAATAGTTTTTTTACAATTGTAATAGTTTTCGTTAACATTCAGCCTTGAACGGTTGATTACAATTATAAGAAACATCTAATTCCTTAATTTTGTGAAAATATAACTTGACTTGAGCTGCGCGACGTCGCCGCGACCGCGCACGCTGCTCATGAGGAAGAACCCCTCTGTGGTTCGAAACTAGTAGAGCTTTTCTCAGTATATTCACGTGAGTAATCCGCGTTTTTACTTAATTTAGTATGTCTCACGATAGTTATTATAAAAAAATATAACTTGTTTTTGACGTTTACCTATACCTACTTGTGTGGTTTTTTTGAGAAATGTGTAGGTTTCAGTGCAATAGCTTGTTCTTAAACCGTTATTAAATATCAGAAATACCTTTTCCCCCGTCATATATCTGAATAAGATAACAGAAATGTGTCCGGCCGGAAATTGGGAAGGCTAACTCGCGATCTTATCCCGTAATAGATATGAACCGATTTTGTCCCACGCACTAAATTTTCGTACCCTGTAAGTACGGAACATTTTCCTAAAGGCCTAAATGAGAACAGTATATGTATCAATTTATTACAACAGCTTTTTTTGTGGGACTTTTTTCGGAGATATTTATAAATTTTCGCTCTCATTATGCAAAAGAAACTGAATCTAAAATGTGGTCTGTTGATTTGTCTAATGTCATTGAAACTGTGTATAAATGTATAAATTCTGGTCATTTGTCTTTTAGTATTTTGAAAATAAAATATTAAGCTGCCTTAAAATATTGTAGCAGTCAATCAGGCATTCATATATACCTAAACGAAAAAAATTTTTTTTTGTATATTAGATGGGACTGACGTTTGACCACTATCTTGCCTAGTGGTAAGCGATAATGCAGCCTACGATGGAGCACGTCGACCCATAAGCAACCTATTCACTCGGGCCTTGAAGAGACCCTTCAGAAAAAATAGACTCTGGCAAAGAATTCCATTGAATTTAGTCAAAACCATAAAATGTCACTAAATTATATAATACCTGTGGTTAGTGTACCTATGCTAATCGTTAAATTCCTCTTTATATTCCAAAATAGACCACATAGAAGCGCTAAATATGTTATGTTGGGCCGATACGCGTGTTTCATTAATATTCATGGGGCTAAGCTGTGGCTATTAGAGCACCACCTTGCCTGACATGTGTCCCGTCGACTAAATGACTGCTTTGATCTTTAAACTAGTTAGCTGGCTCCTTCAAAGTAGTTACTATGAATATTCCCACGGCCATAGCAGATTGCATATTAAATGCAATTTTGCTTTTGTAGTTTAAAATTTATTGAGAATTGCGTGAATTTTCTGTATAAAAACCATTTATAGCATTTTTATTGCGATTTTTGCATAAGATAAATTGGTCGAATGTATGTTCATTTTTGGTTAATGACTTTTTTATTACTAATTTTGCTGTGTATTAATTATCTTATCACGAGTTCAAACCTAGTGTGGGCAAGCAAATAGAGGAGCAGGTGTCATGTATCCTTGCAATATTTCATTTTTTCACTTCCGAATATAAAGATGTTTTATCTCCAAACGAGATTTCAATCTTTCTATCTTGTTATCTAGATTTCAATATAATTTAAGAACATACAGGTAGTTAAGAAATGACTTACAGATGATCTTGTCTCTTGAACGCCTTCGCACATGTGATGCACACGTACTTGCGCTCGTCACTGTGTGTTAGCTTGTGTTTTGCTAGCGCTGATGCATTGCCGAAGATCTTGTTGCAAACCTAGAACAAAGGAAATGGGTATTTAGATTTTATAGCAATAAATAATTAGGCTATACGATCAACTGTAAGTAGTTGATCAGTTATGCTGTCAATTTAAACATTTTTTATTGTTTTGTAAGATGATGAAACTAATAACGGTGACTGAAAATTTCAGCATATGATTTCAATCTTATTTAAGAAATTACATATAAATATCGTTTGTATATGTAACTAGCAAACCCGGCGAACTCCGTTTCGCCACCAGATGGCTTCGTTTTATGTAACATTGCGTTTGGTGATTAAAAGATGATTTTTTTATTTTATCCTGAGATCTTTCCAGTGAATGCAAAACCGTGGAAATCGGTTCGTGCGTTCTGGAGTAATAGCGTCAGGAAGGAAAACCCGAATTATTGAAAACTTAACTAAAACCTAACTATACAGTGAGATTGATGAGATTAATTTATGCAACACTATCAAAATTTCCACCACAGTAACATACAAAACCATATCCATTTTACCAGTAACCCAGATACATTTAAATACCAAACAGAAACAAAACCGTCTATCCTCATTTATGATAACAGAACTAAGATCAAAACAGCAAGTGGCCCCGGGCGGCGACAGTAAGCTGTAGTTAATATAATAATTATATTAAAATGGCGGTCCTACCTCTGACAATGGTGAGAGTTCCCGGGGCGAATGTTTGACCCTAATCTTGCGTTTGTTTCTATCTAATTAGAAGGTCTTTTCGTCTCCTTATCTTGTTTTTATTTTGATGTTACTCTTGGGTCTACTATTGATGGCACGTGTATTAAAAGTTATACTATCTACTATGAAGTCAAGTATGAAGCTCGATACAATTTTTTTAATTATAAAAAGTACTCTTATTAGAGTACCTATTCCGACTAACTACTTACTACTAGATTGTCTTAACTATTGAGCATTTACGTTAAAGGGCGGGAACGACGTAGTAACAATAATTTTACTATGCAGTTAGTACTTCAATGGATATTAATTACATACATACATACATAACATCACGCCTTTTATCCCCGAAGGGCTAGGCAGAGGTGCACATTATACCACTGTATAAAGTAGCACCCACTTTTCACTATTTATGTTATGAGTCCCATGTAATAGGTGGTGAGCCTATTGCCATATACCGGGCACAATTCCATTATTTATTAATTAATAGAGTGATTATCCACATTTGCAAGATAATATTATCCTTTAGCTTGACTCCTAAATACCTCGTAAGCAAGTACTACGGGAAATTGTTTATTAGTAAATGATTTATCAAAAATAAAACTCCTGATTTCCCCTAAATGGATCGAAATCATCCATGATTATATGTAAGTTGTGAATTGCCAATAAAACTGTTATATTATAACCATTATAATAGTTTTATTTGCAACACACACATATAATATTTATAATAAAACATTAATTATTTATAAAGGCGGGTTAAACACTAATGCGTGGTACAATCGACTCGTCATTGTTGGTATTACGTTCTATATTTGAATATTTTTCGTCAACCCTAATCGTAACTTGGTTTATTTTTAAACTAAGATATTTCAAAGTCAAAGACGAATACACTAAACCGATAGAAAAAAAAAGATGTAGGTAATTGTTAGTTTTTACTGTTACATTCTGTATTATAAATATTTGTAAAAGGATCAATCAACTTCTCTGTTGAATTTTCTTATTACTCTAGTAGGTGCTTGTAGTATGTAGGTAAGTACGACTTAATAAATCGAAGCTAATACAGAAATATTTACAGATCTTTAAATAATTATAATGTTGTTGTTTTGATTTTTATCTACAGAATTATTTAAAAATAATCAACTTTACCTTGTCTCTCATCACCTCAATGGTGTAGATGTACTTAGCAACTTAAAATGCGTTATTATGGAACAATAATCTGACACACAGTTATGAATATTTACAAAGATTTTAACTTTTATCAATACTTTTCAAAATAGTGTCTTTATGAAAATTTTCTAGCAGGCTTTTGTTTCCCGCCTAAAATGACACGGACTAAAAACGTAGAAGGATCATAGACAACGATGTTGCCATAAGATACCTAATCGCTTTTATTATTTTGAAACATGTAAACATAAAAATAATAAAACATTAAATGATGAATAATAAAATATTATATGATGATGATAATAAATATTTAATGATCAATTTAAATGTGTCTTTACGAATCTTCGTAAAGACACATTTAAATTGATCAGAAAATTACAAGAAAAAAGTAACTTTTCACAAACACTCCATCTATAAAAGTTATGTATAGGCAATTTAAATTCTTTTCAGATTTTATTTACAAATTATATTATAATATTATTTTACTTCCAGTTCGATAAAAATTATATAAAAGTATGTATTTGAAAGCTACTTACATCGATTGAACAAAATATTTTTGTTGTTTTCGCTTCGGCGAATATTTGAGTAGCTGACGTATATACTTAGCGTTCGCAAATTAACAAACGCATTATTAAAATGTGGATTTAATTTAATCGGTAAAATGCGAATCCAATTTTAATCTGTAAATAGCGTCCATTCGAAATTCGAATGAAAGCCGTATAGCGTTTATTCGAAATTTGATTTCGGTGTAGCTACACCCGTAGCTAACATAGTCATTTGTGTGGCGCCATTATGTTAAAACCCTTTTGCTTGATGTGAATTTTATGGTAAATTCATCGTGTATTGTAATTATTGAGATAAAATTATCATAAAAAATGAATGTTATGCCAATTGTCTATGTCTATTTTAATTTATGTTATGCTCAATGTTTATTAGATAGCGTTCTAAATTCAAACATTTATTTTAGTTTCTAAAAGTAATCCATTATTTTATTTGTACTTAGTTGAAAGTGGAGTTTTAAGCGTACATTATAATTTTGAACAAGTATTCGTACATCGTACGGCCTGTTAACATTAAATTAGATTGGCTGGTAGTGTGATGTTATCGTAAGGGCCTGACCCTAACAAAGGTTCAGTAGGAGGGACAGCCATTGTTCTCAACCCTTGAGATATGCGTAGTTATACTTAACATGTCCATTCATTTACAATTCTCTGCATGTGTGTTTAATTCTATTTTGGGTTTTAATATGCATGATATTAAGGAGAAAGTTTGGGTAAAAGAAATTAAGCTGTATTGTGTTTTAGTAAATAGTGACATTGATTGACGTCAGTAGTAACAATGCATAGTACTTGCGCAGAGTAGGGTTAAGCAGTCACTTTAGCGACAATAAAATCAATAGATAATTTTAAAAAATAATACTATAATAACATCTACTACGTGAAAATTGTTGTAACCACAAATTCGCGACGCATCACACAAATTGGCGTTCCCAGTTTCTGTTAATCCCCATGCTGTAATCCCTTAATCGCCTTTCACAAAAGCCACGGGTAGAATGTGTGCTACGTGTGGTCGTGTCCACAATTACGTATTCAATCACGAATGGTACATAAAAGAAATAAAAAGAAACTTTGTTCTAGAGCTAAGATCTCCGTCGGTTGCACATTAATGATTGCTGAACGCAGTCTAGCGGTTAGCTGGAGTCTTCGCTGTAACTCGGAAATGCAACTTTGAACATAACCTTAATGATGCTATGTTCTTTTGGCTTTGTTCTTCGACTTGTTTTTATTAAAGTGGTAGAATAGAAATGGCGATTGTATACTAAGTTTGTGAAGATCTGACGAAGGTACTGTTCAAGAGCTGTTTGCGAGCTACTCATTAGAGGCTTACGCTTCGTATGATAATTATACAGGTGTAAGCGAAATGCTCCCGAAAAAGAAATTGTTTTTACAATTTTAATCGATTTTGTAGGACTCCCTCGTTGGCCGAGTGGTCGCAAGTGCGACTGCCGGGCAAGGGGTCTCGGGTTCGATTCCCGGGTCGGTCAAAGTATTAGTGGGTTTTTAAAAAAAAATCTCAGTAGTAGCACGGAGTTCGGATTTGTGCACGGTATATGGCATTCGGCTCACCCCCTATTACATGGGACTCATAACATAAATAGTGAAAAGTGGGTGTTACATTGTACTGTGACATAATGTGCACCTCTGCATAGAGATATAATATAAAAGGCGGGATAAAAGGCGTGATGTTATGTATGTAAAATCGTTTTTGTTTTCATGTCATTCATGAAACATCAGCCTTAAGCAGCATTACAACTATTATTACACAAAAGAAACATCAATTATTAATCCTTACTTTTATGAAAATAGAACTTGTTTTTAACCATCATCTGTAGGCGTTTTTCAAGAGCGTTTCGCTTACACCCTGTATATTTTTGTGATGTAAACTGAAGAATCTATTTATATCTTTGTTATTATCTACTATCTACCGGGAAAGTCTCATGAAGACTGGCGGCATTGGTCATTATAGGTTAGCGTTGTTTTAGCATTTTAATCAAAGTCATTGCAGTCAAACGAAGTACACCTAACTAATTCGTAAAACCATAAATATTGTCGCGGAGAACCTAACGGGTAACCGGGGCTCCGGCTCGACGTGCAGGAGAAGGAACGGGGTGGTTTTTAGTCAGTAAGAGTCTGACACTCCCTTCCGCCTCACCCAGGCGGGAGCAGTCATTCGATGATTTTCCCCCCTTAAAAAAAAAAACCATAAATATTGCTCATTTAAATCCTTTTGAAGAGCACTCCTGGTTGTAATTTTAATTCAACAAAATCACCATTTATTGCGTTAAAATTATTTCGATGTCAATAAAATAAATTGAATTTGAATTATCAATACAGTTATTATGTGCATGACATTAACATATATGCCTACACTTTATTTTAAACTGTTTTATAGTATTGTTTAATATAGCGTAAACAATTTTCGCTTAAATACGAGTAGTGTTTTACTATATGAAATGTTGGCTATATGATTTTTCTAACAAAATAATAAACTCATACACTAGTTATTGGAAATCAATTGGCCGTTAAAATGGAGAGATAGCATTTGAAAATAATAAAATATAGGAGAAAAGATGGGAAGAAGGCAATATC